CTAAACAGCAATCATCATGTTCTAATCGACACTTCCGAAATATTTTCGTAAGAAGTAACCTCATTCCGATACTTGACGATTCGATGAACAGAATGCGACACAATTTTAGAAAAGACATACAATTGCTTGCTATATGTACTAATTAATATTCCACGACGATGACTCGAATTCAGTACTTTGGACATTCGTTTACATTCGAACATCACCTTGGTGACAAAACGCATAAAACGCGGGAAGATGTTTGTTCGTGTTCAGTACTTTCCGCCATTACTTAGTGAACTAAGTGACGCAACTGCAAAATGGATGCCACATCACGTGACATAAAAAAATAAATCATATGACAGTTTAAATATCGAATATTATAATCATAATCGAATATCGTAAATATAATGCAACGAATTCAAGTTAATATTTTATATTAATTTGCAATATTACTCGCGCTAATTGTAAGTATAAAATACATTCTAGTTTTTAAAAGTCCGTAAATTGACTAAGTAATGATTTTTTTATCGATCAAACGAATCAAGGTGATGTTCGAATGTAAACGAATGTCCAAAGTACTGAATTCGAACCATCGTCGTGGAGAATTAATTAGTACGTAAGTATAGCGATTGCATCTTTTCTAAAATTAAGTCGCATTCTGTTCATCGAATCGTCAAGTATCGGAATGAGGTTACTTCTTACGAAGATATTTCGGAAGAGTCGATTAGAACATGATGATTGCTTATTCTTGAATCTTTGAATTGATTAATGTTGCACCTAACCCAATCTATGATACATATGTAACAGATTCTACGAATATAAGCCATAAAAAAATCAACACAAGATTACGTAGTATGTAGAATATATTAATAAAAACTTGGAAATGAAAATACTAGACAATCATAAGAAACGCAGTCGAGGCACGAGAACTATTAATTATTATTAATCAACATACGAGTGTAAAAAATAATAAGATTATCCTCACAGTTTTCATCTTACAACTTTTTTGTTCCTAATTATATATATGCATTCGGCTACTTCATAAGTCACTATTTATATATGCTATGTTAAATAAACTATAATTGTTATTTACATTATTATGTCCTAAGAAAAAAAGTTCTGTTTTTACAATTTCTCAGTACTTGACTAGGTGATACTGATATAAATCTAGCATTATACGAGTGAAAAAGATTCCGAGAAATGCCTTACCATGTTTTTACTCGGAAGCAACTCGAGGTAAACAAAACAAAACGCTCTTGCGCCGCATCGACCGCGATGGTAAACACAACTAAGAAAAGACGCATCACGAAGTCCAGTTAAATATTAGATTTGTACGACTGCGTATCGTTGTAAAAAATAGCACTACCGTTAATACGAAACCGATTGATTGTTATACGTTGATATTTTCCGCACAGTATTACCAACTTTCGTACGCGAATGATCTTACGCTATGAAACGTACTAATATGCTTTGAAATACGCGTCGTTTCGTTAAAACGCGTTTGATTGGTTACAAATGGACAAAATATGTTTTAATGCGTTATGACCAAAAGATGCGAATGCAGTTGTACGTCTACATTATTTATTAGTTCATAGGATGATGGCGTGAGTGTCGAACGGAGCTAATTTCAGTTTGCATTTCACGCGCGTTTTTTCTCACTCAAAGTGAACTCCGTGGACAACAAATAAAATATCGAATTCAACATCGAATAACCGCCGCGAAGTGTTAATTGATACACGCATAGTTGCAATTATCCATTTCTCAACGATCGTTGAGAATAAAATCAACCGCACTCATTGCGTGAAACATTGTAACCTAACTCAATCATCCGTCCTACGGTATTTGTAAAAGTCAATCGCACTCATCGCGCCATGTTGAATATTACTTGTCGAATCTTCGGACATCCGTCTAAAAGTTGCCTTCGTTTTCCGAATTCGTTAAACGTATCTCGCAAGTTACACAAGTGTCGAACAAAGTTACCAGCAATCTTTGTGTTTCGTATTGTTTATTCATACGAAAGCATATCGACCAATTTCGCGTAATGCCGAATTATTATCGACGTGATGATGACTGAATATTGTCGCAACGATGCTAAATGTATCAATGGACCGAATTATTTCGCGCTTGTAATGATCGAGATTGTTTCGGAATCCTATCTCGCATTGAAAATGTATCGCGTTTGTAAAGTGTCGACGTGTTGTGTAAATTGACCAATCGCAAATGATAAATTAGTGCCATATAAGTGCATACTTCTTAAAGCAACAGCGAAGTCAACAAAAATGCAAATGCAGAAGAACATCGACCAGTGAGTAAATTTTACATAATATTACATTATATAATTATTTTGATTATTTCTATTTTAACATTAGTTCGTTATGATTAAAATATTAATTCTTCAATTCTTTTTTGTGTATTAAATAATAAAAATATTTATTATTTTAATAGACCTTGTAATAATAAAGATGTAACGTTGTAAAATATTCGCTTGAGAATTGAGAAAAACACAATTGAGAAAAAAAGAAACACGCGAGTAACGGCGAGTTAATCGAGTATACGAGTGGTAGAGGTCAGAAGTCTGCAAAAATTTAGCGCGTTCAACGCGGCGAAGGAGGCCCATGAGGGTTCCCGACCCGTCGAACTGAAGGAACATAAACAGAAATAGGACAGGTTTCCAAGGCTGCATCTATATATAGGATGCATACAGTACACGAAGAGCGCGTACGTACTATGGGTGGAACGCTATCGTAATCGTCGTGTGTTCGCTCGCTGCCCTTCGTCTTTTGCTCTCTACCAGAGGTCTAGAGCAACCTAATACACACATATACACTCGTGCGCCTCTATAGAGAGCGACCTACTCGCAACATCGCCGAGAAAACGGACCGGCACGGCGCGTTCATTCATGCCCTCTTGAACGCGCGTCTAGAGAGTTGCTTTACGACAACGCGGACGCGAACAATCGCCTTTCTTTCGTTTATCGATAACGTTCTTTTATTTCCTTGGTATAAAATACATCGTCGCGAATAAATTCGTCGAACATAAAAGTAAATTATTATTTGTCAAATTGCATCTTGTAATATCAAAAGTAGCGAAAATACTGTCGATGCTTCAAACTTTACAAGCATTTGTTTCATAAATTATCTCAGACTTATAAAGTATTTTTTTTTATACAAATGCTACAACGGCTAAATAAAGAATATAAATATTATAAAATTTTAATATGCGTCAATCAAAATAAACATTTTTTTATGAAATACGTTTACGATTTTCTTGGACGGCATAATGCTTCGCAAAATATAAATTTTTCAATTTTAAAATTTTAACACACACAAGTTGCTCTAAGATAATGTGATATAAATGTAAACTCTCGAAGAAACAAAGTTGCGATTAGTTTCAAACATTCTTTAAACTCTGACTTTTCAAACTTTCAGTTTGCCATAAGATCTTTGCAAAGTGCCGTAAAGTCGCGAGCTACGCGCATATTTCAGAACTTCAAAGCGCGCGAACCGGTTCCGCGAAGTCAGTAAGCAATGATTAATATTAAAAGTCAGTAGAGCGAATTATCCGTCGATCGAAACCGCCTTCGAACTTGCGCAAAATTGAACATCGTTTCCTGGCCCCAAAAACATTCGCTATCGAATTTCACGGGGCAACGAATCGGAACCAATTTATCTCTACGAGAAGCCGAACACTATTTCATAATCTCCCGTAAATCTTAACCACACATTCGAGCGCACACAAACGTCAACAACGATACAATTTTGATGAAGGCTGCTTAATATTTCCTTTTTTGTCTCTTAAAAACTTCCGCCTTATCCCTATAGTTTTGAGAATCGAGCAATATCATCTTCTGAGAATGTCGTCATCATTTGGACACCATCTGCTGCGACAAAAATCGCGCGGTACGTTTTTATCTAAATATTTGAAGATCATAAAACGCGGCAAGCGACAAACTCATAAAAGAAACGGTTGGATTAACTGTGGTCGGTGGGATGTAGTTACGTAAGAAGGAACCAAGTAGCAACCAAATCCAGTTTTGCAGCCATGTGTTTGCACACAGACATTCGCATTGAAATAAGATTTACTCTTGTGGCCCACGCGTTTATTCTTGCATAGCATGAATATATTTAAATGTAAGTAGAAAATACTTTGGATCGTTTAAAATTCAAAACTTAACTCTTGTAAAAATTGCTCTCTATTAAAAAAAATTTGGTATTTAAAAAAATACTACTAATAAAACACGATCAATCTCTTCATACACAGCCACGCCCATTTTTCACGTTACAAGCATCGATATTGTAAATAATATTTTCCACGCATTCCACAAACTCCAAGTTTTTTTAGTCTCTCGTTTTTTGCTTTTATAAATTACGTCGCAAGTCCTGGCAGCGTCTTTACGGCTTTCATTCTCACGCGTCTGCTTTAAGGTGTCGTCTTCCCCGGAAGAAGCCACCCACACAACAACGCGCGACGAAGGTTGCCGCGAGAAAACGACTCTCAACGTGTTCCTTGTCATTTATCATTTTTATCCTAAGATTCGGTTTTTCTTTCTACAGTGAGATTCCTTTCAAAAGTTTGCAAACGAGTTCGAAGCATTTCTTTCGCATTTCACAATGCAAAATTTTCCTTGTTTAAAATATCTAACCTTTGTTCAAAATTCTCTATCGACAGTTTTCTATTTTTGATCGAAAAAATTAAATAGAAATATCAAATTATCACATATAACATTTTTTCCAATGATTTCTATTGAAATTAAATTCAAGTATCAAATCAGCATTGTTATCAGCATTTTTAAAATATACACGTTTCATAACAGTTTCTTCTTTAAAAAACATTGCGTTATGTAAAAATGTGTTTAGTAGTTAAAAAGTTGTCAAAATTTTATCAAAGTTGCAATACCATAAATATAACATCACAGACATTCCACATTAAAAAAAAAACATGTCAAGTTCTTAATAATTAGCCTTCTGCTTAGTTTTCAACGTTATCGTTAACGTAAATAAAGAATAAGAGGAACTTACCTAGCACGGTCGCTGAAGAAATCGACCTTGCTCTTCTTTTTCATGATCGCCTGAGGCTGGTGAAGCGGGCTGACGCTAGGCTCGCTGGTGGCCGGTGGCGAGCTGGAGCCGGTGCTGGATGACAGGGAACCGGCCCTACCGCGACCCGACTCGATCATCTGCGCCTCGGTGGTGCCGCGACCGTTCGCGGCGACGACGTGATTACCGTGATTGGGCGGGCCAGCCGACACGGCCAAACTCGGTCTAGTGTTCTGCCGGTTGCGCCGCTTCTTCTTCTTCGCCTCGTTTTCGTCGGGACGATTGCCGGGCACGTTGCCGAGACCGGGCGGCATCCAGTCGAGATCCTTTTTCAGGTGGCCGCGGCCGCAGCGGCAACCGCACGCCTTGAACGCGAGATCATAACCCTTTTTGGTCCAGAGGTTCTGATGACGCTGACGCTCGGACCAGCTGCGCGCGCGACCGCAGCTCTTCAAATACGTCAGCACCGTCTGTTCCCAGGCGTCAAAGCATTCGCGGTGCATGAACTGGCCGACCGGGCAGTTATCATTGTTGCAAGTTACCTTGACCGCATCGTGCAGTGCGTTCAGACGAATGAGGCTGTCACCTCGTAGACATTCGCCTGTCGGTGTGCAGCAACGCGTCGTCTGGCTTGGACCTAATAAGTTGTCCATGGGATCGTTAATGCCAGCGCCACCGCCACCGGCGCCGCCCCCGTTCTCCAGGAGGCCGCCGCCGTGGCTGTTGGCGTGACGCCGCGGTGCCATAGATGCCCGGACTTGCGTGTATTCTCTTCCACTAATTCTCGGGCGTTGTTTTTCGATGAATGACCTCGCGGTAGGCTCGAAAATTGTAGATAATGCGGTGCAAGTGGGCGAACACGCGCTTCGTTGCGATCACAAAGGTCAGTTCCGTCTTATTTCTTCATCTTCGATCGATTCACCTCGCACGATGGAGACACGACGACAAACAAGACGTGAGATCAAGCGGCAGAAACCGATCTCGCGTCCGACAGGTTCACGACTCGATGAAATCAAGGCGCCGCCTGCCCGAAGAGTCAAGGTCATTCGTCGTTACGTGTCACAGCAAGATCGCCGGCTCGCGCGATACGACGAGCACAACGTTGAAAAACACCGCACGAAATACGACGTGACGTTCTTTAACGTTTCCGTCGACGCGCTGGCGCATCGAAGTCAAGGTCACCGTGCTGGACCGCGACACACCGCGCCGCGATAAAACGCAAAAGTCTCTCGTAGGATACGAATTCCGAACGTGAATCTTGTCGTTCGTCCGTGCACTATTTTTCGCGATCACTGTTCTTCCACGTCTCTATTCTCGTTCACTTGCTCGTCGCCGAACTCAAAATACAGCACGATGTTGCTCCTGCGCGCGCGAGGCGACGAGTGTGTTCTCGCCCGCCGGCTCCTCGAATGTCAGGGTCACCGGCGCCGGTAACGCGCCGCCGGCGTGCAACGCAATTTCCGACGGAGAGAGCGCGCGCGCGCGTCGCGTTTCACGACGAACCGCCGCGACGATTTAAACGAACACTAAACGAGCAAATGGTGCCAGGTTATAAAGAAAGGACGCGCACATACGTTTACACACAACACCGAGGCTGTCTCTCCTATTCCTCTCTTTCCGTTCTCTCTTTTTTTTTCTGCTCTCCCGACGAAACGGACGAGCACCACGACGAAAAACGCTCGCTCGCACGTAGGGTGCACCAGTCACTGAGAGAAGCCGGCGACGACAGCGTGCCGGCTGCCGTGGCGCCGAACGCGGGCGAGCGCGAAAGTGAGGCCCCATTGGGTGAAAGCGAAAGCACCATGGTGGGGGTCACGGCTAGCGCGCCAATCGATGCACGCCGTTGTCGCGTCCCTCCGGTCGGGCGCACGCTGCCGCACCGCGGTTGCGATATCGCCTTGTTTCTCTCGCGCTCATGCAGCCGCTCCCTGCTACGCCCGCGCTTCTTCTCTTTCTCGCGTTACGTTGTCTCTTTCCATCCGCCGCACGACCGTCCGGTATCGCGTAGTTTCCGTCTCGTTCGTTTCCTCACCGCGTCTCGTTCGCTCCTTTGCGCACACACGCCCGCTGTACATACGCACGACGCGTTTTACTTTTCGAACCCGGACCGGCCGAGCAGCCCCGCGCGAATATAATTCGAGGTGGCCTGTTTGTGTGTGTGTGTGTGTGTGCACATGTACATTTCGCGATACGCAGCCCAGGCGAATTTAGCGAGGAATCATACGAAGGTGACGCCAGAAGTCGTGCCTCTCTCGTATTTGTTTCATATTCGGAAATTGCACGCGCAAATTACTAATTCAAATTAGTAGTAGAGGTAATTATGAGGTTATGTCTCTTTCGCGATAATTTCTTGAAGAATTATACTAACAATAAGACAATATGTTTAATGATACGCAAACAAAGCAAATGCAACATATTTATGAAGCATATATAAATTCTTGCTGTTTGAATATAGGTTATGGAGCACACTATTCTCTTCGAATATCACTATTGCCTTTTTGAAGTAACAATAAGTTTTCTAATATTTGAGTTGCAAGTATTTATGACTATATAAATATCAGTAATGTTGAATAAATATAAATATTTATGTATGACATTATGAAAGCTCTCTATAAATAATGTAACATTTTATTCGCTGTCTCCGAATGCTTCTTCAAATTCGTTGCAATTTAAAATGTGCTAAGCGTTTAATTCTTTGACAATGTCGAAACTAATCCATAATTTTCATCTGTCTTTTGCCGCTGTGTCAAATGAGTTTAGATTCATTGTACACGTCTCGCCAGTTTCTCTTATCATATTCATATCCTTCTGACATTGGCTTACCTTTCTGTCTCGTTGCCATGTATATCGCGCAAACAATACTCGCGTAAGAGCTTTAAAGCCCGAATAAAGTGAAAACGGAGCCATGATGCGACGGAAAAGCTCCAAACGTGACAACGCTTCATCCGTATACGACAAACAGGTAGAATATGAAATTCTGTGTTCCAGTGAGATTTCTCTCTCAGTATTTTTGTGAAAGAAGTTTATTCGATATATTTATCTTTTTTATAGATGCAATCGTAAAACTATCTGGTAGCAATAAAAAAATCTCATATTTCTTAAATTTTCTAAAATTTTGCATCTCTTATCTCGAGAATAATATCGATGTATTGGTCGTGTAATTACAATTTTATATTAAAATGGTAATTGATATTATTCTGCGTTCTAGATTCTTTTCGTTACATTTTTCGTTATCATTATGATAAACATTAACCGCAGCTTATTTACGTTCACGCGAGCGGGTGTACGTGAATGATTTCACGTTCTCCGCTCTAACGGGTGATTCACGACGCGTTAACAGAAATTACAAGAAAATATCTTCCACTTAATCGTCTACGCGCGCTATGTTTTTTCCCCGCGTCTACGCGTCTACGTGCCGTGAAACGCCGCGAAATGTACGTCATAAATTCACGAAATGCCACGACCATAGGATATCTATATGGACTGGATTGCACTACGAAACAGCCGTTTTCAAGCCGGGCAAAATCAGCCTACGAGTTTTATATAGCCATAAAAACACGGCAAATTTTTCTTGTTGACATCATAAATATTGAAACTTGTCTGGTCGAGTTTACTATCTATATAGTTAACGAAAAAATATTGCCACTCTTGTTTTTATTCTCTCAATTGTTTTAGATTACAAAAGTATTCAATATATCTTTTTACAGATTTTCTTTGGACAATGTCGACGAGACTCGGACACGCAGCCTTCGACAGTTATTATTTATCTATAGTTACGACCGAGAGATATTTACACGCAGAAGAGTTCAGCTCGTCGTCCCGGTAAGTCTTGAAACTATTTTGCACATTTATTTCAACAAAATTTCCATAGAATGTCGATTTATGCTAATTGCATATTGTAGAAACTCGTATAAAGCGATCGATGCGATTAACTAGACCTTCCGATGCAAATACTAGTTCAGATTGCGATCGCGCGATCACAAACTTGTCTTTCGGATTATAAATTATTTTCGATGTCCTCGACAATAGATTTCGAGTCACTCATTGACATTTTTATTCGGCAAAGATACTATGTAACTATAGCTACGATGACAAGACACGCAAATAGGACTAAATAAATAAACGTGTATATTGTGTGTATTGATAAAGCACAGTGTTGTATTCTCGAGCGAGATACCGAAGTTATATCTAGTATTTGTCGAGAAATTTATATCTGCAAATACGCTGTTAAAGCAATTTATCGATGATAAATCGGAGGCGCGTTGTCGTTCGTCATTTCACGATTCACTCTCGCGGACTCGTGTTATCGCAAGTGTCAGCGAGAGAGTTGCACAAACAACGTTCTGATTTAACATGCAAATGTTACGCTTATCGAGCGTTCGACTTATCGGTAAAAAAAAAAAGAGCATCATTAACAACAGAGATTTCTTTTGACGTTTATTGTACTGAATAAAGCATTCTTAATTATACGCGAAGAGCGGACGCATTAACGATTTTTCTTTCCGGTAGCTGATACTTTGTCAAGTTTGCCGATATATTTCTATCAACGACAAAATGGTTACATGACAGATAATAATTCTCGATATGCTTACATCTGCTTACTGAGCTATTTTATAAAGTATAAAAAAAAGAGTATATAATATATAAAAACTGAATTAATAAATAGTTAATAACACAAACGTATATATCGCGAAATTTGTACGTATAAGATATATAATATCTTAATAATGAGATGTATAATTAATACTCCGATCAAAAATTTATTTTTATTTTTATAGACAAGTTATTATTTCATATTCTATCACATTGGACACAATCGTAATTTAATTTAATAAAGTATTCATCAGTAATGTTGGTGAATAAATGATTCACATGCAATATTTATCGCATTATTATGAGAATGCGCGCGCATTAATTAAACTTTATAAAGCCTGCAAGCTTAAAATATTTTATTTGGCCGTTATATTCATTTTGGCCCCTCAATTATAAACGTATTGCACAACCCCTGTTTTCATCCATATTTCCATAAACATCTTTATCTACAATTATTTCATCATAAAATCAATTGCAAAGTCGTATAAAGTGCATTCACGCATAACGCGAAATGTCTTTTATAGCATTCCCACGTAGTTCAGCCATACGGAATAAATCGTAGAATTGATTATGTTTACCCGTGTGTAACTTTGCGTGTTTTGGACCGAAACTACGCACCAGGCCAACGTCGCAGCGGCAAAGCGAAACGAGATACGTATTAGATTACATTGCATAATTTTATCGGCGATCGTAAAGCTGTTAGGAAACTTGAGATCGCCCAATTCGCATACGGCACAGATCCATAAATTGCGGATGTTGATAAAAATAACGTGAAAAAATTTTTGATACCAGCCACACAGCACCTGGCGGTGTGAAATTTTATGTTTCCCTATCATCGCAAGCGTTTTCCAAAATGATTGTAAGTTTTTCGATCAATCTGTCAGAAATGTCACACGATTCAAATGTTATGACAATTCATAATAGGTACTTCTTGAAATTTATTATTATTTCAACAGATTAGCGTTTCGAAAAGAGTATCAACGGCGCGTTAAATTTTGTTGTAAGGAGTTTGGGCAAGACTCTATCGAACCTCACGTTTGACGAATCAATTTGACATATCACGGAGATTTTTCAAGCGTCGGCACAGGCATCGACAAATAATCGGGATCCTGTACGGGGAATGAATCCGTCGAATCTCGACAACGTATTCCGAGAATATTCCGTTCACGCGCGGATCCTTCTGTAATAAATACCCAGGTATGGCGATAAATAACGAAGTCCGGACTATAGTAGACGCCTATACATCACACTCGAGCACATTGTACGTGACGTCAGAGGGACGAATTTGATTCGCCGGCGTGGTGGAGCCTCGCCATTTGTATCGGCTCGTGTAAATATTGTACAAGAGCTGCGTGAGCCGCGCGCGGCGTTTGTAAGCGGCGGGAATTCAGGTCAGTCGGTTCCCGAATTTCGCCGATGGTTAGGCGCGACGGTAGGGAACCGTGGCTGCTGGCTGCTTACCCGGGGTACCCGAGAAAGGATAATCCAGCGTTTTCGAGAGGGCTCCCCATGAAAAAGCTGTTTTGATCGGTTCAGGTTTCTAGGGTTTCTAGGACGGTGACCGTGAATGAGGCTTTAAGCCGGTACATACGACGCCATACGTCATGGTGAAGAGGGGAACCGGAGGGGGAGGTGTGCGCCGGGGCAGACGAGTTTTTCGGATATAAAGACGAGTTCGGATGTATAAAGAACCAGATGTCATTGAAAAGAACACGTACCCCCATCCCCGTTTGCGCATTAAGAAATACCCGGGACGCGCTATTAAAAATCCGCCCTTCGAGGGTGAATCGGAAGAAGTAGAACGGTTCAAAAGTCGAGACAATTGCGCGGAAGAAAATTTCGGTTCCTCCTTCCTATCCTGTTTACTACGACGTACGAATTGCGCCGTAGCGTCAGCGCGATGCGATAAAATAAAAGTATCGTTTGATTTAAGTTTTAACAATAACGCTGACAAAGTGTTTTGCGTCGATTGTAAACTCGAGCGATAAACTTGCAATGTTTGAAATTCGCACGCGTCATTATCGACGAAAGTTGCCAGTCACGGACGATACATCGGTTTTACGAACAGATATACGATATGAAGAAAAAAAAAAACGCATGCTAATGTCGAGTGGTCGTAGACATGAATTAGGCAAAGCAGACTTCGTCGCTACACACGCGGTCTACGACGGTAGCGAAAGTCGCGAAAATCGCACGGTGCCGCTCGGTTTTTTTCATAAATTCTCACGGACGGCAAAATCGGCCGGCGTACCGCGAGACGAAGAGGAATAGGAAGAGAGCACGATTCCTATTATCGGATCTACGGCATTGCATTAACATCCATTCTCGTCAGAAATGCAATAAAGCGCGTAATCCAAGTCGTTATTGTTACGCTGCCGCGCGCATTAATTTTTCACTCCCGGGCGTACACGCGTGCGTCCTGAGGGCGCGGTGGTATTTCCTGGGAGCTTCGCTTGCAGCTACGCAATAGAACGAACAGCGTCGGTCGGGGATAGCTGGCTCGCGATGGAGAGGAAAGAGGGCGGGTGGACGGGGGGAGGGGGGCAGGGAAGGGAGAGAGTGGCGCTTGGTTAGAGGTTGGAGTTTGAAGGTTAGGGGCACCGGGTTGATCGGGTTGGGGTGCCGACGAGAGAGAGCGGGGGTGTAGGTCTAGGTTCAGGGGCGGCATTGCCACGGGTGGGCGTGCACTTTCGGTTTCAGGCTGCGCATGCCCGCTGCACTCGCAGGCCACCAGGGTTTCTTCCCCAGCACCCGGCAGCAGGGGTCGTATATGCGCAATCCCCCTCGTGAAGGTTTCTACCCCGCGTAAAACCCACCACCACTACCCCCGTTTCCACTGCCGGCGGCGCGGCGGCGGCGGCGACGGCGGCGGCCGCCGCGCTCACCACCACCATCACCGTCGGCTGCCGCCACCACCACCACCGTTACCGGGCCACCATCGTGCTCTGCCATGCCCGGCGTGTCCCCGGTTACGCTTGTAACCAGCGTCGGGATCGGAAATTACAGGGCGCGTCCTTCACAGAGAGAACTCGGCCGCTCCGCTTCTCGACGCCGCTGCTTTAACCCTAAAGCATCCGCGTTTCCACGTGAACGTTCTACTTTCCGCATTCGAGCCCCTTGAAAAGCTCCGCGTTCCACCCTCCCCCGCGGGTCGGATTCATTCTACGATCGATACCGCGCTATCTACTTTGTACTTGAATAAGGGGCATAATCGTTCTCGTGATATAGCTGCGATGCGCCATGACGTATCTACATTCAATGGTCCACTGAACGGTCTTTAAACACGCCGGTCGATAACCACGCCCTCCGAAAATAAGGGCAATCTAAACCTGCGAACATCGCTCGGCCATCTTTAAAGAGCTCTGATTTATAAAATGGCCACATTTGATAACAGAAATAAAATAAGATGGAATGAGTTAAAATTCTGTCTTAAAACGTGATATTCTCTCCGTCCGCGCTGTAGATTTAACGTTAATTTTTAGATCCAAATACTTGCAATGGTTGCGACACACGAAATGCAAGACGAATAGACGACGATAATGGAAGTACGCGAAGCACAATGCCGCTATTTCCTTCGAACAAGAAAAGTGATTTAGCTAATGTCTTTTTGTGCTCCGACAATTCCTCTTAAAGTGCGCTCGCAAAGCTGTGCACTGATATGTATCACAGGAACAAAAATCGTCGAGCAAAACTGCGATAAAGTCCACTTTCGTAAAACATTATCAATTTAACGTGACCTTAAATAACTTTTGTTGAATTAACTTTGTTAAATAATTTTGTTGAAAACGGGAAGTACGCGCAGAAACTCACGTACAATTTATTATAAAAAGATTTAATTATCGACTTTCGCGCAATAAACAGTCGCAACATGATTTCATGAAAAACCGTGCTTTGTATCGGTAACTGCAATCTAATTGACATTTAATTGCACATCTATCCACAGAATTATTTGCGTTAATAAATTTTTACTCTAACAATAACCAAAAATTGTATTTGCTTGTAAGAAGTGCGTAGCGGCATCTTAAAAATTTTAGATATCCGAACATGTGTCTATGTAAATTGAAAGCATGCCAAAGTATGAATGTACGTTACAACATAACAGTACGCTCGGATATAAATAGATTAAGCGAAAGTAAAAAAAGATATTTTTTTTTTCATCTAAATTAAGATTGCTTAAAGCGTGTCTAATCGATCATGCATAAGGATAGAAAGCATAATTTTTATCGTAG